TATAGAGATTTTGGGGTCCTGACTTCGGGCTAAGAACTTAATCTCTTCAGGGACACCATTTTACTCGTACAGAAATCGTGAGAAAAGATTTATGCAATACTTTTTGAAAGAAGGTTCACCTGTTTATTGCAACAATATTGCTAAATTAATACCAATGCTAGGAGCTGCAGTCAATGAACCAAGTGAGTAGTGACTGTTCATAGATACCTCCAAAATAAATCTATAATTTGTTCTCCTTCCCAATGGTGACACATATGCATCTGTTCCTGTTGCTTTTCGGTTCACTTGAAGGAAACGTACGAAAATCTCCTACTTCTTCTTAATAAGGTCAAATACAAAGAACGTGGTTGGCTACTTTGTGAAGAATTAAAAGTCCTTTGTATGTTGTTGGATGAATAATTTGGTTATACAAAGTGTTCATGTTTTTTTATGTGAATAGGACAGCAGCACTGGATAAAGAAGCAATGGCCACGCAGAGTTAGCCTGATACCAGGATCGAAAAACATTGAACGTGAAAATTTGGTTGACACAAAGAAAGTCCTATTATCTCCACTTCACATAAAACTGGACTTGATGAAGCAGTTTGTAAAGGTCTCAGACAAAGATGGCAACTGTTTCAAGTATCTATATGTGTAATTCCCAGCTCTTTCAGAAGCGAAACTTAAAGAAGAGATTTTGTTGGGCCTCACATTAGGAAATTGATAGCGAATGAACAGTTCAAAAAGACAATGAGGAAGGCTGAAAAAGAAATGTCGATTGCCCTTAAAGATGTTATTGACAAATTTTTAGGAAACAACAAGGACCCAAATTACGAAAATATTGTCAATAACATGCTCGATAAATTCAAAGAGTTGGGTTGTAATATGAGCTTAAAAATTCATTTCTTACACTCATTTATCAATTATTTCCATGAAAATCTCGATGCCATCAGCGAAGAACAAAGGGGAAGGTTGAAAGCTTCATTAGACATCAGGAAAATGGAGAGGAAGTATCAGGGAAGATGGAATATCAGCATGATGGCTGATAGTTGCTGGTCATTGAAACGAGATGCTCCAGACGCAATACATAAAAGAAAGACCACAACATGTAGTTTTGAGACTAAAAGACATAAATTTCACAAACAAAAAATGAGGATGAATGAAAATGAATGTTCGTTTCACATCGATGTTCTTCCCTTTTCTTCAGTTTGTTTGTAT